CGCACCATTGGTAACATCCTCCCTGCATCTACCTGTTATAATTTTATAAGTCTCTATGAGATCTCCCCTCACTCGTCTGAACTCTAGCGAGAACAATCCCAGCCTAGTCAATCTCTCCTCTTTTGTCAGTCCCACCATCCCCGGAATCAGCCTGGTAAACCTTCGCTGCACTCCCTCGAGAGCAAGAACATCCTTCCTCAGAAAAGGAGACCAAAATTGCACACAATATTCCAAGTGTGGCCCCATCACCCTGTATAACTGCAACAACACGTCCCTGCTCCTGTACTCAAAACCTCTCACAATGAAGGCCAACATACCATTTGCCTTCTTTACCGCCTGCTGCACCTGCATGTTTACCTTCAGCGACTGGTGCACAAGGACACCCAGGTCCCGCTGCACACTCCCCTCTCCCATTTACGGCCATTCAGATAGTAATGTGTTTATTTTTATTAGTTTCTTTTGAGTAAGGAAAGGTACTTTATTATCATAACATTTCTATTAAATTTTTCATTAGACAACATATTAATTATAATTACTGTGGATATTTAAAATCAGGGAACAAATGTACAGGTAATTGAACAAAGTACCTGAGTACTTATTATCATCAAGAAAAATACGGTTTCTCAAGCTGCACTTCAACTTCATCGGCTTTCAGTTGTAGTTTTTATCTCAGAAATTGTTTGCACTCTGCTGCTAGCAATTTGTTGAAGTTAGCTTCAGTCTATTACGAAAAGCATCCTTCCACCGCTACCTCTGTCTCCTATGACTAAGCCAGTTCTGTATCCATCTTGCCAGCTCATCCCAATACCAGGTGACTTCATCTTTTGTACCAGTCTTCCATGAAGGGCCTTGTCAAAGGCTTTACTGAAGTCCATGTAGACAACATCAACTGCTTTCCCCTCATCAATCATCTTCATTACCTCCTGAAAAAACTGAATCAACTTAGTGAGACATGACCTCCTCTGTACAAAACCAAGTTGGCTATCACTAATAAGTAAATCCATTTGCTTCTAAATGTGCACAGATCTTGTCCCTGAGAATCTTTTCCAATATTTCCCTCCCACCGACATGAGACTCTCAGGCCTGTAATTTCCAGGATTATCCCTGCTACCCTTAAACAATGGGGCTGGTACTTCACCTGTGATCAAAGAGGATAGAGATGTCTGTCAGTGCTCCAGGAATTTGTTCTCTTGCCTTCCTCAATATTCTGGGATAGATCCTATCAGGACCTGGGGACTTATCTATCTTAATACTTTTTAAGACACACAACACCTCTTCCTTTTTAACAGCAACTTGGCTCAGAAACTCAGCACTCCCTTCTCTGAGATCATCGTTCATCAATTCCTTCGCATTGATGAATATCAATGCAAAGTATTCATTTAGGACCTCACCTACCTCTTCTGGCTCCACATGTAGATTCCCTCCTTTGTCTTTGAGTGGGCTAACCCTTTCTCTGGCTGCCCTCTTGCTTTTTATATATGTATAAAAATACTTGGGAGTCTCCTTAATCCTGTTTGCTAACAATTTTTTTCATGACCCCTTATAGCCCTTCTAATTCTTTGTTTAAATTCTTTCCTACTTTCCTTGTATACTTCAAGGGCTTCATCAGTTCTCATCCTCCCAGACCTTAGGTATGCTTCATTTTCATTTCTTACCAAAGTCATAACATCCCTGGTCATCTAAGGTTCACATAACTTGCCATACCCATCCTTCATTCTTGCAGGAATGTGCCACTCTTGAGCTACCATTTGAAATACTCCTAGATGTCTGATGTAGATTTACCCTCAAACAGCCGCCTTCAATCAAAATTCTCCAGTTCCTGCCTAATAATATTGTCGTTCACCTTCACCCAGTTTACCACCTTCACTTGAGGACTGCTGTTATCCCTATCCACGTGCAACTTGAAACTCGCAGTACTATGGACACTACTCCTGAAATGCTGAAACTTCACTCAGCCGGCTGGGCTAATTTCCCAAAACCAGGTCCAGTATAACCCTTTGCCTGGTTGGACTGTTTACATATTGTGTCAATAATCTCTCCTGAAAGGTGCTTATGAGTTTGCACCATCCAAGCCTTGGGCACATAGTGACTCCCAGTCAATTTTGGGGGGGGGGGGGGGGGGAGTTAAAATCACCCACCACAATAACCCTGCTGTTGTTACATCTTTCCAAAAATCTGTTTACATATTCTCTCCTCTATCACGTGCTGGCTGTTGGGAGGCCTGTCATATACCCCAAGCATTGTGATTTCACCTTTCCAATAACAGGCTATTAACCTCTGTGATATAATTTCTATCACTGAGACATGTTGTGGTGGGGGAGGGGGGGTGCGCACAAGTTGGGACAGGATTGGCAGCTCAATAGTTTAGGATACAGTGTCTTCAGGCAAACCAAGGAAGGAGATATCAAAATTTTGATCAGTGAATCTATTACAACAGTAAGAGGGATGACATTTTAAAAGGCTCCTCAAATTAAGCTGAGTAGAACTTAAAAACCAAAAAGAAGCAATCACATTGCACGTAGTCCCCTAATATCTTGAGAGAAGAGCAGGTATGTAGGCAAAATTTAGGGAAGTGTAAAAATTATAGGGTAGTGGTTGTAGGGGATTTCAACTTCCCCACCATTAATTGGGTAGTCATCGTATGAAAGGTTTAAGAGGGTGTGGAATTCTTAAACCGTATCCAAGAAGCTTTTAAACCAATACGTGGAAGTCCTTACAAGAGCATGGACAGTCCCAGGCAAGTGGTCGAAATATCAGTGGAGTAGCATTTGCAGAGTGATCATAGCTCCATAAGATTCAAGATTATTAATGGAAAAGGACAGAGAATGAACCTGAATCAAAGTTCTCAACTGGGAGAAAGCCGATCTTAGTACGATCAGATATGATTTGGCCAGAGTGGACTGGGTGCAGATACTTTCAAATAAATATGTCTCAGAACAGTGGGATGCATTCAAGGAGAAAAATAAAGAAAAAGGGTGGAACCATCAAATCCTATAAAACTTACATAGAGAGATATGCAGCATTGGATTTTGGGGGGGGGGGGTGGAGGCAGACTAATGACAGATACTTAGGGCTCTAAACATCAGAAGCCCTTGAAGAGAACAGGATATGCAAAAGAGAGCTTTATTTGCAGAGCTAAAAGGGGACATGAAATGATTCTGGTAGGTAAAATTAAAGAATAAGTTATTTCACATTTGTATTAAGGGTAGTGAGGATAATAAGAGCAAGAGTAGGGCTCATTAATGATGATCATAGTAATTTGTGCATCAAGTCATGCATGTAGATCGGATTAAAAAGGAATATGGTGTGATGTTCTGTAGTGAAGAATGAAACAGGTATATTGGAGAAATCAGTGAGAAGGTCTGCAATACAAATAAAAGGAATTGGTATAGAGAGAGGGGAGGTTCCACGTGGTATGCCAGTTGCAAGCAGATAAATCTTCAGGCCCAAATGAAACATATCTCAGGTTGCTCAGTGAGGCAAGGGAGGAACTAGCAGTGGCACTTCAAAAATTTAGTTTCCCTCTGGCCACAAAAGAGGTACCACTGGACTGGCAGACAGCCAACGTAGCATCATTGTTCAAGATGGGAGCAAGGGATAAACCAGAAAATTACAGGTCAGTGTAACCTCAATGGTGGGGGGAGTAAACAATTGGAAAGCAATTCTGAGGGACAAAACTAATCTGCATTTAGAGAGACAGGATTTAATCCAGGACAGACAGCATGATTTTGTGAATGGAAGGTCATGTCTGGCCAGCTCAATTCAAGTTTTAGGTGACCATGTGTGTAGACAAGGACAATGCTTTGGACGCAATCTGCTTGGACTTCAGCAAGGCTTTTGATAAAACTGTAGGAGACTGATGGCAAAGATATGAACCCATGGGATCAAATGAAATTTGGCAAATTGGATCCATAATTGGCTGAATAGCAACAAGCAGAGGGTGATTGTTGACTGCTCTCCCCCCCACCCCCATCCAAATCTGGAAGTCTATGTCCAGTAGGGGTCAGTTTTGGGGTCCTTGCTGATCATGGTTTATACAAATCATTTCCAGTGGAACATGGAAGGTTGATCAACAAGATTACAGAGGATACAAGAACTGGTGGGGTGCTAAATGGGGAGGAAGATGGCCTTCAATTGCAGGAGTTTATTGACAAGCTGATCAGTGGCAAATAGAACTCAAACCAGTTAAATTGAGGAGATTCACTTCAGCAGGACAAGGTAAAGGAACATGCTATAGTAGGACCTTGGGAAGCACTGAGGATTGGAGGGTTCTTGGTGTGCATATATACCATCCTTTAAAAGTATCAGGACAGCTGATTAATAAATACATTTGCCTTTTTCACCACTTAATCAAGGTACAGAGTTTAAGGACAGAGTGGTCAGGGTGTTATGAAACTTGAACTCAGTGCTTGTGAAGGTGGAGGAGACAGAAACTCTCAATACTTAAGTAGCATTTAGATGTACATTTCTGATGCCAAAGTATATTAAAGTGTTGGAAACTGGCATTTGAATAGTGAGGCAGTTGTGTTTGACTGGTGAGGGTTGAACGGGCCAAAAGATGCTGTTGATCTCTCTGACAGTAGTAACAACACATGGTAACGGTGGGTTTTTTGGGCAAGGTAGATTCCTGGTCAGCTATATAAAATGGGAAGAACATTGAAGACTTCTGGAACCTAAAGACAAAATGTCTGTATGGTGGGCTTTGAAATTCCAGATAAAACTGAAGGTTTTTGTTAGGTAATGGCATCAGGTATATGGAGCAAAAGCAAGTGAATGGAGTTCATAAAACCTTAATATGATCACATTCAGATCGAAGATTTGACTTAAGAGTAGAACAAGTTTAAGTCAATGAACAGGTTTTTAATTTGCACTTTCAGGATTTAGTAAATGCAGTCCACACCTCAGCTTCTGCTTATGTTGTAGCCAACCTAACAATAATTACATAAGCTGCGTGACTGATTCCAAGAGAAAACCACACAATAAAAAAACCCAACAAAACGTTAATGGAAACCGTCTTTATTAAGTAACTTTTAATATCAGAAAAATAAAACTCTTATAATTCTCTTTACAGCAAATATATATCAGTGCTTTGGCCACATTAAGTTAAAGGCCCTTTATAAAATATATGGTTTTAAACTTTACTCAATAAATTGAATTCATCTCCCTATCACTTCCCTACATATACATAACAAACGAGGTGTAGTAAAATTAGCAAATACTAAATTCTATTGGTATGTTTTTGCCATTCTCGGTTTGTGTTTTTGATAGAAACAGTACACACACTGGTTATCTCCTTGGTTTGTCAATTATAGTGTACAATGCAATTTCAAGGTTTATAGATACAAAATACATGCTCAGGTGAACATTCGTTCATTATCTATTCCAAGATGGCAACTAGTGTTAATCTTAATACTGACATCAACTAGTCTACAAGCAAAAATTAGCAGTGAAGTTATGCATTACATCATAGATGCCGTCAAGGCAATTCTCATACTGAAAAGATCTCGAAATAAAAACCTTTATTTTTGTAAACTTTGAATACGAAATGTAACTTTTCAAGTGGAAATAAAAATAAAATTGTATATCTACTAGATGAATATATCTATATTTACAAGTACAGAAGTTAACTTGCCCTTGTTGAGTGGAGAACAAAAACCATTTTTGTATTGAAATAATGCTGTTGTACGGCAGTACACAAAATGAAATCTATTAGACAGACAGTCTTCTTCCCTTTAAGCAATTCCTCTGCTGCCAATTTCCACACCTCCCATTATCTGAAGGTATTGGTTATTTGCCAAGGTTTGGATTTACAGATGCTGATTTCTTCCCAACATATCCAAGTAGCCAGCAACCGTGTACAGGCCTCAACACTGAATGTTAGCAGGCTATTCAATGGCAAGAAATCTGGTGTTACGTAACTGCAATTACACCAACACAGCTGAATTTTCAGCTAAATGGGAGATGCCAATACAGTGCCTCAAATGCCACCACTTCAGAAATCAGTTAACTCAACACAGGCACTGATCTTGCTGCTCTGTATGGCACAACTACTCAAATTGCTGAGACATTAGACCTCCGCATGGTTTTGTTTCCTCTACATTAAGCGCAAAAGGATCATTTATTCAAGTCAAATAATTGATTGAAGTGATTTGTTATCCCTGCCCCTAATTTTCTTCTTGCTGTAATGCATCTTGCTCCAGGTAGGTGGACAGAATAATCTGCATTGCAAAATTATTCCAACCCCTACTCAAAGTGCAAAGGTACATTACATCCATATTGCATTTAAAATTACTAGCCTGGTCGAAGGACAGAAGTTCATTGAACTGATGCAGTCAATTAGTTGTTCTGGGACAAAACTGTAAGCTACGAGTCCCTTCCTAACAGCACTGCAGATGTATCAACTCCATATGGAGCGCAGTGATTCAAATGTGGCAGCTTACCACAATCTTCTAGGTTAATTAGGAATGAACAATAAATACTGACCTGGCCAGCAATGTCCACATCAGTGAGAGAAGGCTACATTATTCCCCCGAAGGTTTAAAATTTACAAGCTAATTTGAATCAATTAAATCCAGAAATTGTAAGCACTTCTCTTGGTCCCCTCACTTGAAATTCAGTTTTGTCAGCTGGAAATAGCAAAAAAGTTTATATCCAGCTTCCAACCTCCTTTTACAACAAATCTCTCAGAATGAACATCTTGAAAACACAATTAAAAAATGAGATTTGGGAAGCAGAAGAATGGTACAGCCTCATTTGTTTCAGGAACTGGAATGCAAAAACATCTAGAAAATTATAAAAATAAAAATAGTGCCAACCTACATTTCACAGTTTAAAGACAGCCCCTCCAGCAAACTGTTGGATGAAATCAATCTGTCATCACAATCTTTTGACCACCTACCTCTCTGGTAGACCAAGATGTAAGGTAAAGGCCCATATATCACAGAGCTTCACAGAGATTGGAAACCAAGTCCAAGTCTTTGTCATGCAGATAGAAAAAAATATTCAAAGTCTGCAAACCCACAATTCAAATGTACCTAGCCACCAACAGCTTTTAGGAATCTTGTATAAAGACAATCTGCCCACATGGAAGTTTGACAAAATACTTTATCTGAGAATATACAGTATACTGGGATCTTCTGTTGGGAGGGTGAAGAAGGAAAGAAAAGTAGCGCGAACCTTAAGAAACCTATATTCTAATAGAGCAGCTGGAAAGCTCTAGAAATGGAGAACACAAACTTTTTTAAAATTTAAATAAAAGACTATATCATTTACTATTTTGACTGCAGGATGCTCCTACAAAGCTTAGAAAGCATATTCCCTCTAATAAACCACTTGGCCAGTGCCTGCCTGTTTTAAAGCTATAATGAATGAATCTCCAAACTGCACTGTCCAATCTCTAGGCAAAAGACATTCCCATGCTGATCTGAAAATTGTACAGGGCATTTTGTAGTAATACTAATTTTAGACATGTATGTTTCGTAGCACTTCAAAATTTTCAAGGAAATATTTAGAAAAATAACATTCCAATTAATTACAAAATTAGATGCATTCCACATTTTACTTGTGCTGCCAACTTGATTTGAGCATACACTTCACAATACCACATGCAAAACCTATTATTGAGCACATTAAAAAGAGACTAAGCTTGCATGTCCTGCTGCTAGGAAATCCATTATGAATCACAAATTTGGCTTTAGCAACTAATACTAATCAGACAGATGCCCATACAACAACTGGCTGTCAGAAAGCGAAGTTGATCTCCGATTGTTACAGATGTAAATCAGTCAGGCTCATTTTTCCTATATAGGACAAATTAAAACGTGATCCCTAGTCAACATCTAACAAGTCTAGACATGCTTTTTTTGTGCATCTTTCCCCCCAACCCTCCCCACCAACTGGATGTACAGGTTTCATCCAATCCAAATTCACCATTTGTGTAGAAAGCACTCCTCTCCATATATAAATTCTGAAAAATGTGAAGGGGTGTGGCTGATTTCATAATTAGTCCTGTAATAACAACAATGAGGCACATAGGTCTCTGAACAGATCGAACTTCAGCAAATTGTGTAATGCTGGAGAATCACTCAAGTATGGCAATAAACATGCCAAGTCATTTTATGTACTAAAATAAATCCAAAGTAAAATAATGCTGTTTTCCACAGGTCACACAACAAACCCAATGCATCCAAACTGCAAGTAACACAGAAATGGTCCAATTAACCAACTGTTTTTCCTCTCAGCAGCTAACTCATCAGTAGAGTTGCTATTCAACAGCAAAGTCCACTGCAATACTACGGCTAAAGCAAGCAGTAGTTTACATCAGGTAAATTTAACACAAGTGAGTGTTCTAATCGCTGGTATTACCTACATCCTAAAAAAGGTACCCTCAAAAGAACTACCAGTTCAAGGAGATCAGCACTCCAGCTGTCTTGGCAGATCAATTACCTTCAGTGGTAATAATTTCAGTTTAGATACAAGTGGCTAAATCTTGGTATGGATACAAGGTCTTTTTAAGATTGTGAACTTTTAAGAGAGATTCAGATATTTTCACAAACTGCCAAAAAAAGAAACATTTCCTGCAGTTTCCTTAATGCAAGAATGAGGAAATTCTGAGCAATGTTACAAGATGAAGCGTGGTGGAATTTGAGTTAATAACTCTACCACATGGATTCTCTACACCTGACTAGATGCCAGCCTTGGGTGATTCAGCAGTAAGGAACATCAAGCTCCCTTTAAAGAGGGGCTCACCAACATGATTCCGAATACCTTGCACCATAGAAATAAATACTCAGCCTCTTCATAAGCTTGGGTACACAGATAATGAGAACAGTAGTAAAGTGTACAGGGTGTGAAATGAAGCAGTACTGTGCATTTACCTATGGGTATAGAGACAGTTCAGTTATAGCTGAAGCTGAGTCATTCTTGGACAAATGAGTCAGGTTGCTGAAAGTTTGAAACCTTTAACAGCAGGGCTTTGCAACAACTGAGGGGAAGCAGCACATCATTGGTTAGTTCAAAATTGCTCACTCGATGGAAGTCTTTCAATCACTCCAGTAACAGTTTCCCCACAGGAAGTGAACCACAAATCTACAGGAAGTCTCACTCAGAGTGCCAACAAACCATGCAAATGGGTGCGAATTACTTAGTCGACGATTGAGATCCCAAAAGGGAGAGGTTGATTCCTCATTTCTCTCCCTTCCAACCTCCTCCTCCTAAAGAACTGAAAACAAAAAAAAAGTGCTCCTTGTCTCAAAGTTAACATGAGATTTCTTGGTTTTGCACTGCAAATTACTTGTTTGCACATCCTGCACTTGGTCACCTTTAAGCTAGAAAAGAAATAGCATGTATTATGACACACAAGACAAGTAATACAACACACAGCTGTAAAAACCTGGTTCAATTTGGTTCTCAAATGCATAATGCAAAATGTAACTACCACAAATGCAATTTATTCAACATTTCAAAAATGTTAGGTAATAAAACATTTGGGAGTGAGGGGAAGAGTAAGAGAGTGGGTGAACCTTTCATAACTCATTGAGTTACAGTTTAGAGTTACAAATCTCCAGCAGAAAACTAAACAAAAAACTCGATGTTTCACATACATTACACTATTTCAAGCATTTTACCCCCAATTTAACTATTTTCACTGCTGTACTTAAAGCCCTGGATAGGGTTCTATGGTGCCAGCAACCCTCTGGTATCTCATCCAAGTGCTTTTGCATGGATTGAGGCAAGGGATGAGAGGGGGTGGGGGGAGAAGAAAAAGGAAGTCAACAACCTGTCAAACTACTTGTTATTGGATATCACAATTTCCATGAACTACTTCCAGTAGTAAGAAAAAAAGGACAAAAACAACTATTTTATTTGCATTAGAATCCTACTGCTAGATTGGTAGATCTGTTAACTTGATAGAGACTGGTAAATCAAATGGAGTGGGGGGTGGTGGTGAAGGTGTGGCAAAAATCCAGAACACGCATCTCTCAAAAAAAAGTGATGCAAGTGGCACAATTAAAAAAGTCTTAAAAAGCTCAAGGGCCACTTTCACTGTCAAGTACATTTTCAAATCCTGCATGTATATCCTCAAATAAATTGACACATCTTGCTTTGTGATCAATGAAATGAAATGAGTTTAACAGAAAAAAGGTACTACCAACTTTTTAAAATTTACAGGATACTCGTAGCCTAATCCTACGAATCCAACTACATAACAGTCACATTTTACCATTAGGAAGTTTTCAGACAAGTACCAACATACATTCTACCCTCCTCGCCCAATCATTCTACCCCACCCCTCCACAACGCCCCCTAACAATAGTCCATTAAGAGTAGATGCGAATGGCCTGAGTAACAGGTGTGTTGCACACTGGACACTTTGGGTCTTCCTTGTCGCAGATTCGGTTGGCACACTCCATACAGAAATGGTTGTGGCCACACGGCACCAGGGCTGCAATCACTTCACTTTCAAAGCAGACCACACAATCACGTTTGCCCCGGGCCATACCAGAGCCAGACGAGTTGGTGGGTGAACCGGAAGTAGTGCTACCATTAGAGGAGGAGTAGCTTGTACCATTAGAGAAGGCAGAGATGTATACTGGAAGCTCAACTTGACTCGCCATGTTCAAAGGGTCACTGCATGGCCGCCTTGCAAGGGGGAACTCTATGTTTTCTATAAAGGTTGGTGATAGGCGTGGGGTAGTAGGTTGGCTGTCACGGGCTATTGTACCAGTTGTTGATTCATTACCAAAGCCAATAGGATTTGCTTGTTCGAATGGACACCAGATCACAGACTGAGTTGTGGCTGGAAGGGGATCAAAGGCAGGCGATTCAAACCCCAGATCTTCAGAACTCATGGTTGCAAATGATTCTCCAAACCAGAAGCCACCTGCACTGAATGGACTTGTTGGACTGAAGTCAGTCATCTGGTTACTTCCAAAGTAGGAATCAGTTGATCCACTGCCAAGAGAGCTCGAGCTGTCATTTCTGTAGCTGGACAGAAGTCTATTGCGGGCAGGAGGAATGGAGTTCATCTTCCCCCAAGCAGAATCAAACGCACTGTTGTCAAAACTCACATCTGTGCCATTGGAATGGAAGTCATTTTCTTCATTGATTTCAATATAATTGCCAGTACGAACAGCAATGTGCGCTTCTATCTCTTCCCGGGCTCTATCAACATTTTCAGGCATGCCAGTCACTTCAAACACTGGCTCTTTATCACGGCTGGGAGTGACTATATACGTATGGGTTTGTTGCTGAATTCGCTTAATTGTGGCACCCTTGGGCCCCACCACCAGACCTACTACACGGTAGGGCACTCGTACCTGAATGGTGGTTTGCCCAGGTAGACTTGGGGTGCCAGGTACAGAGAGGCCAGCTAGACCAGATGTCGTCCCAGGCACTGCTCCGTTTTTGTTTCTTGATGCACGTATCATTGAGAAGTGCTCTGCAGCTGAAATGATCTCTCTTTTAGCCATAGCAACGTCCTCCTTTCTCCCAGTGACGACAAAAATAGGCTCCTCTCCTCTAACTGGAGTCTTGATGTAAGTGTTGGTTTTTGCTCGCAGGGCCTTGATTTTGCAACCTTCAGACATTAAAGGATGGTGGGGGAGTGGAAAGACGAAGGAAAAAAAAAAGTTAGTACAACTTCTAAATATACAATATGATAATGTTGTCTGCATTTGCAACATACCAAAATATGCTTCTCCAAAAAAAAAGTTCTCTTTAATTTCACAGCGCATAATCATAAGTAGATTAAAGGCTTCATAACAGTCCAAGGAGAAATTTATGCACAAACAATTGCAGCCCATTCCCATTAAAGGACACTGATTGCACAATTAGCACATCCAAATTTAATCACTTCACTTGGATAGTGCAAGTGAGTGGCAGAAGAATCATGGGGAAGAGATAAAGGAATTTAAAAAAAATAAACGTAGGGCTATAACCTACAAATGATAACTCTGAACAGGTTGATTAGAAATTAAATAAATAATATAGGTACAGAACCGGGTTCTTGTAGTGCAATGGTTGCATCCCTAACTCTGAGCAGGTTGATTATGAAAATATCTATAGGTACAGAAGCTTGTGGTATAGTGGTAGTGTCCTCTCAGCCAGGTGGTCTAGATTCAACTCCCACTTAACCCACAGCACTGTTATAACACATCAGAACAGGTCGATTTAAAAACATGAAGAAAGGTGCTCTTGGCACAGTGGCAGTGCCCCTACTTCTGAACCAAGAGACCTGGGTTCAAGTCCCATGTGCTCCAGAGGTGTGTAATAACATCTCTGAACAGGCTGATTAGGAAAATACCCAAAGAAGAGGAATTGTGAGGTTCTTGAGCAGTTTGACACAAGGAGTGAGGTGGTACTGGAGGTTTTGGCAGGCTTAAAAATGGGCAAATCCCCAGATGGGTTGTACCCCTCGGTGCTATGGGTGATGGGGTAAGAAATTACAGGGGATCTGACCCAACTGCTCTAATTCCTCTCTGACCAGAGGGGAGGTGCCAAAGGACTCGTGTACAGGTAATGTGTTTCTACTTTTCAACATGGGTGTTAAAGATTAAGCAGGGAATTATAGACCAATACGTTTCACATCAGTGGTAGGGAAACTATTGGAGAAAATTCTGAAGTAGAGAAATAATTTCCACTTGACAGGCAAGTTTTGAGCAGGGTCGGTCAGCATGGCTCTATCAGAGGGAGTAGTTGGAGAAGCTCTAGTTGTTTTCTTTAGGAGAGAAGGACGAGGGTAGAGGGAGATCTGATTAATGTGTGGAAGATAAGGGGCATGGACAGGGTGGATAGCAAGTAGCTCCTCCATTTAAATGAAGGGTCAATAACAAAGAGGGCATAATTTAAAAAAGGCAAGTGGTAGAAGGTAGAGAGGCAACTTGAAGACAATTGTTTTCACCCAGAGGATGGTGAGAATCTGGAATACACTGCCTGGGAGGATGTGCATTCCACATTCCCGTCACCCTGTGGCTGAAAATTATTTTCAGCAAATCCCCTCTAAGTGCAGATGTGCCAAAGGGTGTCTCCTGTACAGATCTTTGATTTTACCACTCCTCTGGTGATCGTGATTGTCCAGAGTTCCTGTATTCCACCAATTTTCTGAATAATTGCTGTTTCTGGGATTTTACTAGTATCCTCTAATGAACTCTGATAAAATTATGTTGAATTCATCTGCCATATGCTTATTTTTTCCATTATCAATTATCCAGTCAGAAATTCTAAGATAAACACCCATTTTGTTAACTCTAAATTTATAGAAATTCTTATTTTCATATATCTAGCTAGATTTTTCTTTTATTTTCCGTATTGTTTGGTCATTTAAAAAAATTAATACTCTGTTCAATCATCAGAACTGCCAACTCTTTGTCAAACAGCATCTATTTGTTTTCAGAATAATGTCCTCTAAGTGCCTGCCACTGCAACCTAGTTTGTCAATTCATTTTAGCAAGCTGTTTTTATGCTTCATAATTCGCTTTATTTCAGTGCTTAAAGAAGGTCTTGCACCCACTCTCCTGATGCAGGGTTTAAATATAAAAATTTTGGCTGCTGGTACTTGGGGGGTGCCTTCACAATGAGATCATTCATTGATCGTAGTCATTAGAATTCTCACATTTGATAGTTCAAGTTCTGCTGGCGCAGACCACTAATGGGCCATTGCATTGTTTCACAAACTGGCCATGCAAAGGATGCACTGCCGTTCCCCAGAATTGAGAAAATCCCATCAACTAGGCATCTCTTGCATAAAACTTTTCAAGAGCATAGATTAGAAAGCAATAACCACCAGCAACTCTGGCTCAAGTATATAAACCTCCTGCTCTCATTCAACAAAAGTATCAACTGCTCCAAGATAATCTTGGAAGCAAAGATAATCAGCCTAATTCACCACAACAAAAACAAACCAAGTCTTCATAAACCCCTCTTGCCCCTTCCAATGAGCAAGGAGCTCATGCACCTTTGGCTCCTTGAAGCATTTGGTAACTAGTATATTCCAGAGGTAATAGATGATCTCATGCGAGAGTCAGCCTCTAACTTAGGCCACAGAATTCTTCCCTTTTCACTTATCTGGTGTAGAGGGACCCTAGTTTTTGAGGGATTGTTGAATGGATTTCAAAAAAATTATTGATGGACAATTCCACAGCCGTGTAATGCAAACATGTTACAACCAGAAATTATAATTTTCTGATGTTAGATCATGCGACAATACTGTTATATGCAAAGAACTGCGGATGCAGTTGAGCAGATGACCATTGGTGTCACAACACCTGCCCTGACAGCCCAGGACACCTGTTCCCTTCTGTCACCGTTTCAGAAGTCAGATCAGTCTTCCTGGGAGTCAACCCAAGTGATAGGCCTGGATGGGGTCTTCTGCTGAGCATGCAGATCCTGTGCAGACCAACTGGCCGAGGTACTCAGTGACATCTTCAACCTCCCCCTCCTACAGGGTGAAGTCCCCACCTGCGTCAAGAAGGCCACCATCATCCCTGTACCCAAGAAAACACATGCAGTGTGCCTTAATGACTACCACCCAATAGCTCGGATTTAATAATCATGCAGTGCTTTGAGAGGCTGGTCATGGCCCACATCAACTCCAGTCTCCCAACCTGCCTTGATCCCCTACAGTTAGCCCTAGCCCTACACTCATCCCTGGAACATCTGGACAACAAAGACACCTATGTCAGACTCCTGCTTGTTGACTACCTTTAACACCATTATCCCCTCCAGGCTGATCTAAAAACTGCATGACCTTGGTCTCAGCTCTGCCCTCTGCAACTGGATCCTCAGCTTTGACCCATAGGCCGCAATTTGTGAAGATAGGTGACTACCCCTGCTCCCCAGTAATACAACACTGGATCCGCAGCCCCCCCACCCCACCCCAAGCCCCCACTATATTCTTGTACACCTACGACTGTGTTGTCAAGTTCCGAACGAACGCCATCTACAACTTTGCTGATAACACCACCATAGTGGGATGCATATCTAATGACAAGTCAAAATACAGAAGGGAGATAGAGGCCTTGGTGACGTAGTGCAATGGAAACAGTCTGTCTCTCAACAACAGCAAAACTAAAGAACTGATCGTAGAGTTCTGAAAAAAAGGAAGAGAACACATCCCCATCCACACGGTTGAGAGAGTGAACAGCAGAAAGTTCCTTGGAGTCGTGATAACTGACCACCTGTCCAGGACTCCCCATGTAAATACAACGGACAAGGCGGCACAATGTGTCTCCTTCCTCAGGCAGCTCAGGAAATTGGGCTTGTCCAGAAGGTCTCTGACCAACTTCTACAGATGCACCATTGAAAGCATATTGTCTGGGTGCATAACAGCCCGGTATGGCAACTGCTCTGCCCAGGACCGTAAGAAACTACAGAAGGTGGTGTGCACAGCCCAGACCATCATGGAAGCCAATCTTCCATTCATGAATTCCATTTACATAGCTTGCTGTTGTGGAAAGGCAGCCAAAAGACACATTGCACCCTGTTGATGATCTCCTACAACCTCTTACATCAGGCAGAAGATACAGAAGCTTGTGTGTACACACGTACACACACACAGGTTCAGGAACAGCTTCTTTCCAGCTGTTATCAGACTGTTGAATGGACTCTAGCCTCAAATAATGTAAGCTGTATGCCTTGAAGTTTAAGGCTTTTTGATATGTACATCCTCTGCTTGCTGTGGTCTGGCTGTACCACTCACGGACTGGGCTTTTCACTGTGTTTTAGTACACATGACTACAGACCAATGCTGTCAATCAAACTGCTAGAAAAACTCAGGACAGGCAGCATCTGTGAAGAGAAAGTAGAGTTAACATTTTGGGTCCGGTGAATCTTCCTCAGAGCTGCTTTTCTAACTGCAATACCCTCCCTTCCCTTCCTAGCTCAAACTTCCTTTAAAAGTATTCCCTCGCAACACCCCAATCCTAAATTGGAGTATATAAACAGGATTATCTTGCTAAAACTATATAATACACTGGTCAGACCACAATTGGGCAATTCAGGTCCCCTTGTCAAAAGTAAAAAGGTATACTCTGGTAGACAAAATGGGCTGAATGACTTATCTCTGCTTCTATACATAATGATCACAACTGACCCTAGTACTCTTGTTATTTCTACTGCAGCTATTACGTATGCTGTGAACAAGTTGGTGGAAGGCCAACATATACAGCAAAGTACTAATGACAATGGAAGTATGACAAACCTCAGGGATGTCATAAATACAACGTTGCTGACACTGCATTGTACACTTTTCCCAGAGGTGCAAGCTGTTTCCTGTACAGTTCACTAACAGAATAGGACAACTGTTTCCAAAACACCTGTTCTGGAAATCATTTAAAGCAGTTTTAAATTTCTATTGCGTGGAGAGTATTTGCAACTTCCTGTGATATATTAGTCATACCCTCCAGTTTAACTGTCATTTTGCTGTTTGCTCTGAAAAGTCGATGTCAGGAAGTGATAGTCACCACTTATGAATGAGGTATTAAATAGTTTTCATTAATGCAGCTGTTATCTCTTCACATTTGCTATGCTGTCACTGGAGAAACATACCTGAGAAGAAGGCTTTGTCGTAGCAAAGTGCTA